TAATGATATAACCTTATATAAATATACACATAATTTAACGCAAATAACTTACAATCCTTCTAACAAGTCAAAAACCGTCATCAGTATACGTTTGAATTCAATAGACATTTCTCCTCATGGAAAGGCTATTGGTCGCATTAACATAGGATCAAAGTCAGGTCTTAGATCTTTATACGTGTCTACGAAATCGTCTAGCATGAATTTAATTTCTCCTGGAAATTCATTATTGCCAAACTCATGATGCATCAAAATCTGCTTAAACCTTGACGATAATAAATTTACAAATGGGTCTTCATTTTCGGAGAGATCAATAATATCAGATGCTAAAGGAACTTCTGGTTTAATCGTCACTGGATCTAAGTGTTCCAAATGACAAACAATTTTGGTATATGTGACCATAGTAGCTTCCGAGTAGTGATACGGGCCGGCCCAGAAATTATCGGCCGGGAATCTTCGGAATGTAGACAATAAGACAACATTGAATATGAATCTCTTATAAGGTCAAAGAAAAAAGTATTGAATAACTCCCCAATCCATGTCTAAAGTGCAATAAAGGTTGAATATCTTTCAAAATCTTTCAAAATCTTTTATAAAAAGATCGGCCCTGACCAACTGGGCCAACCCGGGCTGGCCCGAGCCGGCCTCGACCTGAGATTTTTCCATCGGCCTATATCACTACTTCCGAGCAACTATTTCCTAGCTTAACTCTCTATAAATAATATTTCCCAATTAACAATAAACACACCAGAAATCAGAATTATAATATTTACTTACACATCTGCTTAATATAAATTCTATATTCTCTTGAATTATATTAATGTTATGTTCCTGTTCCATAGCTTGTCGCTATATTAGTAAAAAATGAAAAAAGATAAGCGCTTTTCATTTTGGATAGTATGAGGTACATATATATTTATACTTACTTTCTCCTTTTCTCCCATCCAAGCTTCTTTATAAAATTTTTGACATTGTTCTTAAAACAGAAGAAAAAAAATAACTTATCTAGTATTTTCAAGATAATATAATTATATAATATAATATATGAAATCAGCTATTTTAAAGTTATTCATTTCTATAATATAATGAGATCCATGCCCACGGTCAGTGACGAGGTACACAAGGCATAGCTCGTACCGAACCTAGTGTGAGACCCACACCAGAACGATGGATCTCCTGAACTGCACCCTTCGATGCTTATGGTACTAGCATTCTGTAAGCTAAAACATACACAAAAACTTTATCACGTATACTCAGATACAGACAGCAACATAGGCCTATGTTGTTTTTTTTTCATTCCCTTCTGCAAAATTGTTCATCATCTTTTGAAAAAATAGATAACCCATTTTTTATTACATACCTTAGAAGTTGCATTAAACTGAGATAAGATATCCACTAGCTTTCATTTATTTTTTGAATTATTTGTCCCACACGTAGTTATAGCTTCTTCTAGCTCTTGGCAGTATTGAGATCCTGCTATATTAACATTGTTTCTTCTCAAAGTCTTAACGTTCGGTAGATAGACATTTGGCAACCATTCTTTAAAATACAATATATTGCTTGGTTGGTTGCGGTTAAGGTAAAAATAATTTTCAAACATTTTAGAAGCAATAAATGTTAGTCTAATTTTTTTAATCACTGTAAAGCAACAAACTTCCATAACTTCATTATACTCCCTTTATAAATAGAATTAGCTCTTCTCTGAATGGCAATACAAATGGCAGGACAATAGCAGAAAAAGGACCTATATGTGCTTTACGCCATTTTTTATATTCTATATTACACTACATTGGTCATAGGGTGACCCTTAGGCATGTGGAATGCATATTGGAGATTTTGAGATCTTCAGCATTACGATGTAGAGAAAGATCGCTAAATATTATACTTCGCTTGACCACCTAGTAGAGCTTTTAGTTTTTATTAGAGAAACTATAAAAACAAAACTATATATGCATTTCGGTTAGAAATAGATAAATTTTTATATTGGCTTTGGAATAGATCTAAAGCTTGGACATTATTTTTCTATGAACGTTTGTAAATAAAATTCGAAAAAAATCATATAAAGATTTGGTTGCATAGATAATGTATGTATCATGAGATTATTGACCAAATTTGGGTTAGAGTACTAATTTGAGAAATTTTTGCAGTAATGATAAGCTTTGAAAGGTATGCAGATAATTTATACATACACGGATTACAAAATTTATATACAAAACACATTCACAAATTTAAAAATCAATCGAAAACATATTTATTATATTTTTTCATAAAGTAATACATGAGAAAAGGGCAGTCGGCTATGTAAAAAAAATGAAACTAATAAAAGATATTAGAGTAGCAGGTTGTTTCAAGGGAGGAATTTGCCGAGCCCCAACTCATATAATAGCAGTTCCTTCCCCACTACTCCACATTATTATTAAAACTAAAACTATTAAAACTAGCTACCCATGCATTTATTTGATTAATAGTACTAATTTTACTGCCACTTACACCATTATAAAAATTTTTCACTGTTGGGATCTTAATATTTCCTCCAAGACTATGAATATCGACTACTACAGAGAAGCATATCTCATCAAAAGTATAATTCCTTGCCTCCATAAGCCGATCAAAGTGTTCTTTAAAGTGGATTCTAATATCTCCAGTAATATCAAAAATTCTAGATAAATTGAAACTTCCAGAAGAAGAGCTTGGAGACGAATTAGCTTCAGATTCATTGGACACACTTTGTTGATCAAAATTGGATCTTTGAACTACAGCATAATGTTGATTTATTTTGTATTGGAGATTTTCGATAACAACATTGATTCTGCTAAATTTATTACAACAGGCTTCTTCGATATTATTAACTTTCGTAGTTATATTATTGATCATTGAAAAAATTTTCTGTGCCTCAGAGGTGTAGCCAGCATCACATGTATTAATTTTGGTGATTTCTGCGATAAGTTTACTATTAAGTTCAGTATTAATTTCAGACAGGCATGTGGAAAGCTCATTGGTGATTTTAGTATTAATTTCTGCGGTAAGTTTTCTATAAACATCATCAGTAAGGATTCTTTTGATTTCCACAGTAATAGTTGTATTATTTTTTGTGTCAAGTTCATTGGCGATCTTAGTACTATATGCAGAGAGATCATCTGCGATTTCATGCTTAATTTTGGTGGCACATGTAGAGAGTTCATCAGAAATTTTTTGTTTGAGAATCATCCACATAGTAACGATCCCCATGAATATCAGTGGACAAACGAACAAAAAAACAGCGGTTAAGACTAAAACTGGCATGCTTCCTAAAGAGTTGAACAATGTTAAACTGGACATGATACAGATAGAGCGGTGCGTAGTATTTTTATATTTGAGCTTTATTGGCGGATTAAATTAGAGTTTTTTAGATACTAATAATTAATTTTTTTTATAATATGCAATTCTCTTGTATAAATGCGCTAGAAAAAGAGGTTATTTTATACTTTATTTCTACTACACGTGAAAATGAGAATTTAACACAATATAATCAAAATTATGTTGCTTTATTCTGTGAATTCAATGTAATTACACTTTTTTTAATTTCATTTTTCCACCTAAAACCATTAACAACGGCCTAAGATCCTATCCGATAATAACCCTGAATTTGAGGCCATTTAACAATAGTGCTTAAAAGAAAATCTGATGATTACTAGTTACTGTTTTATGTTAACTTAATATAACACTAATAGAGCAATGCTATATCTCAAAATTTTCCAAAACAGAAGATCGCATGTGGTGCATCTTTGTTTGATTAATGTTTTATTAAGCATACACATAATTGATTGTATTAACAAAAATAGGATAATAAATTTTACTGTTCTACCAAGGATCCGTTAATTATAGGTTCCAACCATCAATTTTCCATTTTTGTTTCATTTTAATGACACCCTGTCTTACGATCTGCATGTAAATCAGGATGTGTTTTTTATTAGTAATTTACAGAATTGCGTAATAAAAGGCTTGCCAGAACTTTTGGGAAAGTTCATCACTATAGTAATATAGCTCTTGGCTAGGTTTATTAATAGATCTGTATAAAAGTTAAATCATATGCCCAATGCTAATTGCGGATATGCAAAGTGGATTGATGAATTACTACGAAAAGTATAGAAATAACATCTACCTTATTGCGCATAATATATAAACCATCCACATGTTTTTTTTTAAAAAAAAATATGCGAATCTACATAATTCAGTCAATGCGAGTAATTAATTCACGTTTATTTGCATAATTACACATTGTTTTAACTTCTATTCGTACCCTATACAAATCTACTAATGGCCTAAAAATAGAATTTTGTTTATTATGTAGAATGGTAGTACCTTTGGCCCCCTATTACATTTTACAGAATCGAGATCTGTAAATCGGTCAATCAAGATTCTCATTATCCTCATTCTAACATCAGAGATCTAACTCAAAAATTCATAATGGGTATTATGCCAGAACCTTCGGGAAAAAAGTTGACGGATTAATTATTCATTGATCTATTTCCTATAGATTTGCAAAAATACATAACCTGCTACATAATACAGAATGCAGTTAAATCACATAACCTCATCTGTGGGACCAGAGAAGCTAAATAACCTAAATTGAAGATAAGATATTTTGGTATATTATTGTTATGGAACAAACCTATTCCGACACTAGTGCTGGTAATAAGATTAGGATACACGAATTCTTGGAGGCTTTAGGATTATTAGATAATGAAGTTGTGCCTGTTAGCATGGATGATGATGACAATAGCGAATCTGATATTGACGAAGAAGATAGTGATGATGATCAGGATGATTATTGGGACGATTATTGGGACCCTAAGAAAACATATACTGGATGGGATTATCAAAGTCGTTTTGGTGAAGATGCTTTGAAAAAACTTTTTCAAGCCCGGGAAGCTCGTCAACGTCTTATCCTTCTTAGGCTATTTACAATGTGCCTTTCTAATTTATCTGAGCAAGCAAAAAATGGATTATTTCTCGCATTTTCTAGATCTAATTCATTTGGAGTATTAGAACACAATGCATTATTGGATGCTCTAGCTTATCCTGTGAAAGGTTTAAATCTTTTCGATTATGATGAACTCAGGTTTGATTTAATAAACAATACGAAATTGTAACCAAGCTTCTGGTGTTTTTAGATTATTAATATAGTTTAAACCATATTTAGTTAACATGGATCAGGCATAATTATTTTTTATCTATTCTTTAAAAATATCTTGAATATTGAGCATGTTTATATTTTGATTTTATTAACTAAGGCTTTTATTTAATAAGTATAAGCCGGACCAATCGATTTACTAGCAATCATAAATAATTAGTGAAGAAAAGGGGAGTATACACTTCATAGATTTTTATTCACTTCGACACGCCAATTTATAAGAAAAAAAAAATTTAATATAAAAATATATCTCTTAATTGTAATCTCAAAAATAGCATTAGGAAAATGGTGGACAGCTACTCTCTTGATTTCAGTCTATAAAGAACCCTCTAATGATCTGCAGGAGATGGTCTACTGTATTTGTTTAGTTCTAAATTGCCATTGCTTTGAGCATCTGCTCTATTTCATCATCTGACCTTTCGCGATTCTCCTCTTTAGCTATTTAATAATAAAGCTTATATAATTCCTCTAGACTAGCACACAGGTCATTATCTGCATACCTTTTGCAATAATTTTCTAGCCTTAGAGTATATGCCTCTTCATTAGGAAACATCTTAACTGCAATTGTCTTAATATAATCATTCGGATTCTTTTCAGCTCGCAATTTCTTTAGATAGTCTCCATAATTTTTCGCAAGATTATCATATTTTCTGCCCTTTTGCAATGCAGTTTTTATGACTTTGACTTGTGCAAGTTCTATATCTTTATGATCAACCATTTTATATGTTTCTACTATAGCAATAAAAAAACTTTAATTAATGAAAATATATTCTTTAGTATTTTTTTACCTGAAAAAATATTTGTTATAAAGCATCTATGCCTTGATACGAAGTTTAGCTTTCATAGCTCTTTCTTCTGCTTGCTCATAAGATATTTCAGATGCTACCAGGTGTTTATATAATCCAATTCACCAATGTCCGTAGAGAAGAGTTCGAATTTCATCAAGTAAGATCTAGCGTTTGTTATCATATAGATTTAACTCTATCTTATTCACCCTTTTCAGATATATTTAATGATCATAACTGTGAAGACCGTACATGTCATGCCGAGTTAGTTTCTTATTTCTAAGATATTCTAGAAATTTATCATGTCGAAGCTCTCTTTTGATCACACATTTCTTTACACCCTTTGTCTTTTGGATACCGTGCTTCTTTTTAGGGTCTTCAGAATCTGGGTTATCAGAAGTTTTAGGATTATGCCCTGCTGGAAAGACTGAGTATATCTTTGGCTTTAAACATACCGTTTCTCCTATAGGTTTGCCCTTTGTCTCATCCTTCATTAGAAATAAATCGTCTGAATAGTTAAAATCAAAAATGTCTGGCCTCTCTGCTCAATCTTTATATATGTCTTCAGTTTCTATCCGCATGATGAGTGAGTCTGTGTCTGTATAAAGTAGATGGGCTTTATCTCCATAGTGAGGCTTTATGTAACCGTACCAAAAGTTAAACATCATGGTCTTGCTAATGTCAAGAATTGCCTGCCCTATATAAATTGGTTTATTTAGTGTTACTGTGCTCTTTAATATATGGACTGCTGTAATACCTCCCTCAAATTGCTTGAAGCCTACAAATAATGGCGAACTTACTAATTGCCTAATTTTTTTATCCTCTTCTGTTCGTAGTAGTTCTACTCTCATATGTTTACAGACATTCTCTATTTGCTTGCCGAAGACTGCATTATTTTTTAGCTTATAATACACAATCCCAAACTCATCCCCATTTGCCTTGGCTATTTTGCATTTACAAATATTTTCCTCAATATATTCCTTCATCCACGGAGACTGCCTAAACTTGAGAGTGCTATGAATCTTTGTAACCTTCATTCTGAACTTCATATATATCTGGAGAGTTCGGTAATGAACTATATAATTCTTCTTAGTAAAAAGGGTCTGAACTAGCTTTTCTCCAGATACATATTTCCCTTCTCCAACATTTTTATCATGCACTAACATTTCATTGTATAGACTAAGCCAGTTTTCTGGTATTATTTGCTTTTCTGGCGCTAAAGGATAATCTGCAAAATAATCATGCAAGTGCACCGGGGCTTCTAAATCAACTTCAAGTGTATAGCCTATTTCTGTATCTGGTGCAATACTTTGGATGTCAGGTACTTCCTCTGAACTTACCTTACTTAGGATTTCTGTAGGCATGTATTGGATCATTGCATCTGAATATAAGGCATTTATATCTTCATATAAGACTCAGGACTTCAGCTTGCTGAACTCATAGTTTGGACATTGCAGATTATTTGCTTTGGCATATCTATGACATGCCATTGTCATTCCTCCATGGATTCCATTTTCAACTATCAGATACTCATCCATATCTGTCATGAGCTTAAGTTCTATCTTGCTACTTTTGTATAGAGAATCGTTAAACATTCCAGGTGCAAAGACGTAGTGAGATGGATCTAGACCATCGTTTTTGAGACACATTATGATATAATTCATAAAAATATCTGCAAGTAAAAGTATATCAGTCTCAAGATAAAGGTCATGATATTCTCCAAAGTTCTTTATCTCAAATATTTGCCATACCTTTTGTGCATGTTCGTAATCCTCTTTACTAATATTTTGTTGACTAAGAAGTGAATAGAGATCCTTTTTAGACGGGAGGCTTGTTCTGTCGAATTTTTCCTATGCATTTGTCCAGTCATATAGAAAGACACTCTTTCGAAAAAGAAGCTTAATCTTGTCTATTGAATAGCCTTTTTTAGTAAAATACTTAACACTTAGGGTGAATTTTTCAATTTTTTCCCCTAGGCATTCACCCAATTTATCTAGCCCTATTCCCATATGCTGAAAGCTATTTAAGAACCGAAGCTGTCCTACATCCATGGCTTTGTACTTTCCTATATTCTCTGTGATGCAATTTAGCTTATCAGCCGTGAACTTGCTCACAACTTTCATAAGCAGATGAGAGTCATACCCCCAAAAATTATGACAAATAAGAGGCACTTTAGTCTCGAAAGAACCTATTCACAATTTTTTGTTACAAGTATCATAGGCTGGACCTCATAACTTTCCATTTATATGGTCATGATCTTTTACTTTTCGATTAAGCTTACTTAAAGCTTCTTTGTATTCTTTCTGTATTTTTTTCTTTTCTAGATGATCTTCTCCTATATATACTTTTCATTTGTTGACTTCTAATAATCTATGCTTTGTTTCTTCAAATTTTTGCAATGCTTCTTGTAATGGCTTGATAAAAAGTTTTTTGCAAATCCAGTATTTGGTTGCTTAATTATAGATCTTTAAGTCTCCTGGTGCCATAATCATTTCAGCTGGTGCAGATAAATCTGTCTGAATATTTATAAGCTCTTCTTTGATTCTATTAACAAATTTTTCTAAGGTATCTGATACTCTATATAGATTATAACTACGATCTTATAGTTAAGTGAACTGTTTATACAAATAACTATGTAGCAATAACCATATAGCTTATGCTTCTGCATTCTTTCAGTATGGGTTAATTTTGTTTTCTCTTCTAGAGTTATCTTTTCAGTTAATATTTCAAGATCCTAAATTATGTGATATGGATTCAGTTACATATATTTATGATTATAGAAAGCTTTGATACTTCTATTTTTTACTGATATTTGAGGTTGCTAAGAAGCATTATTTAAATCTTTGTATTTTGATATATTCTCCTTTAATCCTTTCTCTGCAGAATATATATAAAGACAATATTGGCAGAGATATTTTTGTTCTTTATGCTTGCTATTGTTATATACTAGCTTATATAAATCTTTGATTATGCAGTAATGACTTCTTTC